AAATTGAAGGGGTACCCCTTGGAAAAATCTCGGAAAAATCGAAAATTTTTTTTTGTTGTTTATTATTAGCAATGTTCATCCGACGTTTGATTTCTTTTTAAAAAATGCGTTTCTAAAGTACATAAACTGTTGGGATTGACTATATAGACAATACATCCTTAAGGAACGTGTTTTAGATAAACCTGTCTTTCAAGATTCGATCATTTATTTTTGATAACTTCGTGAAAGAAGGAATATTTCGAAAGGCTTTGATAAAGAATTCGTGCATTGTGCTCGGAAAGTTACTGAATAAAGCAAAGTTTGGCATGAAATAAAGGTAGAAAATCAGACTGGTCGATCGTTGTAACCAACGATTGGATTGCGTTATGGACCAAGTTCGAGTGGATCTTGTCGAACAGCTAGCGTACAAGTGCTACAGGTTACGACCTTGTGAAATGGCGAACGAACGGAACTACGTTCCCGGCCCTTCCGCCCGGATTTCTGCCTTTCTTTCCCGTAAAAGGATTCGAGATTCTCGAAGCTCTATACGCAAACGCATTGTACACCGACATAATGCCCCCGGAAAAACGTTGCCGGACAAATATAATATACGGTACATAATAAAATAACAGATAAACGAGACATACAATTTCGAACGACGAAAACATTACTGTAATAAAATACATGAAACAATAAAGAGTGTCTCGTTGGCAGCCAAATAAATATTCGTAAACGTTAACACGCTGCTTGCCTTTGATATCATCAACGCGTTTTAAACAATAATCCACGTAAGGTTGCGTAAACGAATTCCAGTGAATTATACATGCATGTTTGAACGGGTCGACAGCACAAAAGGGTCGAAAGTTTCGTTTCGTTGACAGCTGGACCACAAAGGATCGCGCTGTTTACGCGCAATAATTAACTAAAATAAATTCGATTAATCTTACCCAGTCGCGGTTCGTTTCCGTTCTGTCATAAACCAACGCGCGCACGGGATATCAATAATTTTTCCACCGTTCATTCCGTCCTCGAATCATCGATATTCCGATACTCGATCGTCAATAAATTTTTACCTACCTCTTTCCACAAAGCCTTTGTACCAATTTTTTCGGTTAACATTTCGCTATCTAATAATACCTCGCACTACACATTCACGTGAATTACGAATACAAAAGCGAAAATGCAAAGTTAAATAGTTTCGTGCATTATCGTTATGCAATACGTAATCTGTTTTCATATCTTCGCGTTCCGACGTTCATCGAGAGGTCATAAACAGCGATGGTAAGACATATTCGCGTGACGCAAGAAAAAAACCGATAGATAACATGTATGTGTAACATACAAGACGAATTTGTCGTAACGTCGGACATCGGAGAGACAAATCCGTGATAGAGAGAATATCAGAATAACAGATTCGCGACACGCACCGCATATGGGCGTATAATTTCCTGTGATTTATATATATACATATATACACCATTATTATGCAATTACGCCAGGTAAAAATGTACAGGTTCTTCCGAGAATTGATTCGAAATATGCATTGGCCCTTCGCATGATGCGATAGCGTTCACACACTATAATGGATAACGTAACAGCGTAGTGGCACGTACGAATCTTGTATAAATCGCATATTGGTTTGGAAGTAACGAAAAGAAGTCTTGCGTCTCTCTCGACACGCGCTATCGAGTAAACAAATTCATGCAATTGGCAATGGAGCGTAAACAAAACCGGGAGCTTACGCGCCGTGCGCTGTTTGGAATTCGAACGTGCACGGAGCAAAGGATACGTGCGGGAACGCGACGCATCGGATTTGTACATGACGTATCCGATCTCGGCATGAAAAATCCCGTAACGTAAGCGTGGAAGCGTTTCGAGGAAACGCTTCGATTACAATGTGAGAAGCGGTGCGTGTTCGAAATGGAACGCGGGTCGAGAGTGATCGGGACGGACGAACACCGTTTCACATAGAAAAAATGCGATTAAACGATTGCCGAAGGAATGACATAAGGGAGAAAGAAGGTACTGGCGAAAGCAAGCACACTCACCTCTGTAGCGGCGTTGCATCCCGCGAGAACGACGGCCGTGCTGATCAGAATCCAGCATATCCTCGGTTGCATCTTTCCTCTGTTTCTCGCCGCTTCGGGCCCTGTCGAGAGCCCACCGGGTGATCACCGCGTCGAATCGACCGAACCAAACGAAAAAATTTAGCGTACGTTCCGGCCAGAGAGAGAGGAACAAACCACCAAAAAAATCCACAGCGCGACAGGAGCAACAACGCGACACACACCACACTGATCGATGAACCGCGAGACACTGAGGGCGCGTCGATCGGTCGCTTCCACCGCCGCTCGGCCGCCATTTCGGGTTGGTAGCACCAGCGCCGCGGCACAGCCGCAATCAGTACTATTCGGTGAAGAAGGAGAAAGTTCTCAATGCTACTGCGCGAGAAGTTTGAATCGTATTCATCTCTTTTTCTGTGTGTTCATATTTTCATCGCAAAATTAGTAATCAGTGTAGTATAAGCGTGTTTTAATAATATAGAATACTTTATGTATCGACGTGCGTTGATTTGTTCGACGACAGGTACGAATAATTGAAAGTACTATGCCGGGACGCGGCATTAGAAGTCCGAAGTTCCAGACGAAAATGTGCGTCATATAAGTGTGATCATCTCTTGTTTTACTTTCGCAAACGAAGAAAGGTAAGCATTTTGCATAGTACTGATAACGTTTTTGCATATAAGTGGCGTTTAAATAAGCATTTGCGTCTTTCCATTGCTTAGACTGTTGAACAAGGTGTCATGGCGAGTCGAAAACTTTGACGACGGGCGGGAAAATCTTCTGAAGACATCACCGGTGAGTGAATTTCAACTAATACGCATGGATTTTAACGTATTACTCGTACATAATAGACAATGCTGTTTTTTGTCTGTTATTTAATGATATATAAGTATATAAATGTTTGCTTGACTATCGACATTCGTTTTGTGTGGTAAGAAGTTAACAATCATAGCAAGAAGCTCGACATTATCAAAATAGTAAGTAAAAGTATCAAAACATGATTATGCACAACGTGGAAATTATTTTTTGTCGCTGGCCGACAGGTCTTTATCGAGTCCTTTCAAAAATCGTAGATTATCGTTTATGGTTCGATTGTATTCTTCAATTTTGTTACGCATCGTTGTGACCTCGTCTTGCATGCATTTCACTTCCTCTTGCATTTTTTGTTTCAACATTTCTAACAGTGCTTTGTCCTGGTAAGTGAGAAAGATTTGTTACTTCTCGCAATCGCGTTTTTCGTTGAGTATGTCATTACCTGTTTGTAATAGAATTCACTTTCAAACGCGATATCATCACTCGGAGTCTGATTTTTACTGGAATCGCTGCTTCTCCTTTTGAAATATTTGGAACTATCGAAAGAGGAAACATTTTGACCAATATTCATCTAACAGTGAAAGGCGTCGATCCTTCTCTAAACGAAATTCTTCAATGTGTTTTACTCACCTACTTGATTCACAAGCTAAGCCTCGTAAAATGTACCGAAACATTATTTCTGATGAGTTTCCGTCATTAATTTAACGAACAAAAAATCGTTCGAGGGATTGAATTGTACAGAAATTTTACAACTTCCTGTCACGAACAGTGAAACATTTGAGTAGAAATGTTGAAAACTAATCGACGTAATCGATACTAGTTGACGTTAATTCATAAACAAACTTCATAACAGTGAATGTA